CCCCTTCCTCTCTCCCTCCCCCCTCCCCATATTCTTAGGGTGTTATTAGGTTATAGCTTTCATATAAAAGGTATGAATTAGTTTCATAATAGGGGTGTGTACATTGGATACTTTTCCCTCCATTCTTGTGATACTTTGCTCAGAAGAACATTTTCCAGTTCCATCCATGACATTTTACGTACTTAATGCACTATCTTGGGGCTCTGGGGAAGTAGACAGAGGAGACTTTCTCAGCCTGGACATTATTAACCTTTTGGAAGGAATTAGTATTTGTTGTGGAGTGCTGTTCTGTAATTTTAGCAGTTTAGAAGCATCCAACTTCCACTCCCAATCACAAAGGGCTCCAGATATTGTTAAATATCCCCCGGGGTAGAATAAAGGGGCCTGCAGTGAAAATCAGCACCTTTGAAAGCCAAAGAAATGGAACATCCATAATACAGAGGCAGATGGATTTCCAAACACGACGGTTAGATACATTGTCTCTGCTGGAGTCCCCTTGGCCACTCAGTGTCTCGACATTTATTTATACATATACTTTGAAAGTAGACAATGAGTGCCAAGCATTATCATTACGTTCACCATCGAGTCTGCTCTTAGTACATATTATTGTACTGTATTATTATTTCCACTGAACTGTGAAAATGTGGACTATCAAGAAAGTCACTTACAAATACAAGTGACTTCTTGTTCCAGCTACACGAGCTTACAAAGTCTACTTCCACCCTTTGTGGTTTATAATCTCTATTACATACAGCTAGCATTGTAATTAAAATGTCAGCCTTCATCTCTTTTTCATTATAATACATTATTTATAGAAGAAGTACTAGATTAGGATTCAATCATTTATTCTATTCAGTGTCCAAAGCTCTGTGTGTGCCATAAAGAAGACATTTAGAACATCTCACCTCAGTGCTCCCCATGGTGACATGAGAAAACACTTTATAAATTCCTTAGTGAATTCAACATGCAAAAGATGGAACCCTTTGGAAATTTCAGGCATCAACGATTTTAGTAAATATGTATGTTTAATTATTTACAATCTCCAGAATTTTAAGAAGGAATTAAAACCATGCAAATCATTCTGTATGGATTTAGTTTCCAGGGAGAGAACAGAATGCGACAGAAGTAATTCTAATGGTGCTCTAAAACTGTGATGGTCCTTGTTTTCTGGAGCAGAAGTTTAGGCTGATGTTGAGAAAGCGTATTGGACAATTAAATTCATGAACTATCCTAGAAAAGGTTCATAATAACTCCTTGCTGACTATCACTACATCTTCCAGGTACTCTGCTTGGGAAGCTATCACTGATGCTGGCACTCAGTCCATCCCAGCAATTCTGGAACTCACCCCATCCAGCAATTCTGGAACTTCTTTTCTGGAATGGCTGTCAGAGCTGTCATCCTATGATGTCTGATAATTAAGTTCACGAATTCACTGTACCTCATTGCTAAATATATATGTGTGTGTATGTATATATATATTTAACTATATATACCATGGAACATTATTCAACTATGGTCACTTTCAAAGCAGTCCTTTTGGCCATATGGTGGCTGTAGTGATGTTCAGCAATGGGGTATGTGGCACTTTTTCTAGGATGAGTTCATGGAATTAATTTTCAACCTCATAAACTATTTCATAGCTACATATAGTAACCCACATATCTAAAACAAACAATAAACTTACAGTTTTTGCTCACACCCTTTTGCCAACTCTCATTGAATCATTAGCCAAATATCTGTGAAGCCCCATAAACACTCACTTTAGTACTTTAACAAATAGAACAACAAAATGACAGTTTCTGTTTCTAGAACTTGTTTAGTTGAGGAGGGTAAGCTTACAATGACATTTAGGATATAGACAAGTTACCATAAATAGCTTCCAAGAGAGTGAAAGAGGTTTGAAGAAGTTGCAACTCTGGGGATGAGACATGTAAAAAAATAGGATGACGCCGTTAAAGCGGGGAGGGGTAGGTGTTCTAAACAGGACACATCCCAGGACAAAGCACTCCGGTGCAGTTAAGATCGGAACCTTTGTCATTAATGAGATAACCGGCTCACCCAGAAGTCAGGTGCTATTGGAGAATGTGGGCTGCAGCAAGACTTTATATAGAAGACCCATACTGTTAGGTGGAAGAATCCAAACTTTATACACAGTAGATAAGCACCAAACAACATTAATAAAAATTACATCTTACAACTGATATTGTAAAAATATATATACAGTAACATAAGGGCACAAGGAATTCCAAAAGGGGGGTAGCAAAGGAAACCAAAAAGCAACATCACCATCAGCATTTTGTTTAATTATAAAAGGCAGAATGAGAGACGAATTACTGCATCAATCAATGCGATTGATATAAGCAATCCTTTAAAAAATAAATTTATGAATTTCTCTACTTTTTATTATTTCATTGGCACAGATTATTCTGAGGCATTAAAAACTATTTTTTGAGTTACAAATATAGTTAAAAAAAAGAATTTTATTTCCTATAGATGTATGCATACATTAAGAAAATATATTCCAAATGTCTATTTTCTTCTGACTCTTGAGGGCATATTTTCACAATATTTATAACATATGATGGAAAATATGTGTTTTATAATGTTTATGATGATCTAATGCCAGCGTGAGACTGCTCGAGCGACAGCAGCTCAACTAAACAGGAGAGCCTTCCTTTCTCCGGCCAAACACAAGTAATCTGAGCTCTCTAAACAAACCTATTAGGAAAAAAAATGATAAGATGGCAAATGCGCGTTTGGTAATCTGAGGGCCCATGGCATCATCATCAGGCCTTTTCATTTTCCTAAGCTGAGAAGTATTTTTTCTGCCCAGGGACCACTGCACCAAGCTTCAGAGCTGGAGAAGAAATATTCTACTCTCCCCTAAATCCGTGACCACTCTACGCTTGTAGGTTAAACAAGGCTGTCCCAATCCCTGCAGTTTTGGAGATAAGCATCTATTCCCATTCAGACCTTGGTTAACAAAGTTAAGTATTTTGAAATATTTAAAAGATGAAATAAGAAAATTTGTGTCATGAAAGTTTTATGGTAATAATTTCTCTGAAGCACCAGGTGCTGAAATTGACTTCATAATAAAAAACAAAGCCAGCTTAGGTACACAGAGAATAAATAATTAAAACTTTGCTGTGCCTTTTTAAAAAGTCTACGTTGGAGACCACATAAAGCTAAGCAAGACCAAACAAACAAATCAGAGAACAATTACAAAAATCAGCACTCACCCATACTTTGCAAAATTTGCCCAGCGTTTCATTATAGATCTACTCAAAAGGTCTTCTGCTTTGGTGTAATTAGCCCTTCTGTCCAGAGGCAAACCAAAGACGAATTCAATTTCATAGCCATGCATCACCCCCATCCATTCTGGCCAAGGAAGTTTGGAGGATCGATGTTCAAAATAGTAGAAAAAGGCATTATTTCCCAATTCTGAAAACTTCTTGGTGAACTCCAAAGCAGGGCATATCATATTGTAATCTCCAAAAACATCGTCTAAGGCGTCCCGGTAGTTTTCTGGTCTCTGATCATCTAACCAGTCTGTGTAATGAAAAAAAATAGACTCCTTTCCAAATTCACTCACTCTTGGGAAAAACAGTTTTAAACCTTCTTGAAATTCTTTCCTGGTTATGATACTGTCGTTATCTTTGCTGAAACCAGGAGCGCCATAGACCAGAAAAGCTGTCCCTTCATCTTGGTTTACACCCGCCAAAATCTGGGTCTTTTTGAGTTGTCCGAGTTGAAGGAGTGTAGCTGGTGTGTCAGTGAGAAAATCGCCATCCACAACCGGACCAAAGTTGACCGACAAGGGGGAGTAAGGGACAACAGATTCTTCATTCAGAAGAATTTCTTGGGGAGCTTTACTTCGAAGACACTTTATTATCTCAGTCTCATTCTCTCTAGAGCAACCCGTTAATTTAGCTAAGGTTAGTGTTCTGTTCCTAGCTTCATGAAGAGGCGTCACCGCCCATGCGGCGTTGCAGGATCCACTTTGCAGAATGGCTCTGGTGAACAACGGGTGGCTTTTTGGAGACAGCAAATGAAAGCTAACTGAAGCTGCCCCTGCACTTTCTCCAAAGATAGTCACACTTTTCGGATTTCCTCCAAAGGCTGCTATATTTTTTTGGACCCAATGAAGTGCCAACTGTTGATCAAATAAACCCATGTTCCCTGGTGCCTCAGGATTTCCTGGTAAAGCTAAGAATCCTAGGGCACCCACTCTATAATTCATTGAAACGACGATAACTCTTTCAACACGAGCTAGAAATTTGCCATTGTAAACAGGTAAAGAGGATGTCCCAGATTGAAACCCACCACCGTAAATCCAGACCATTACGGTGGCGTTTTGGGGTTTAGGCACTGGACTCCAGACGTTCAAATATAAACAGTCTTCACTGAGGTCAGTATTCGGGTTCCACATCTCAGACCCAGGAAAGCCTGGAAAGGTCCGGTCTATGATTTGAAAGCAAGAATTCGCATATTTTGTGGCGTTCCAAACATCAGACCACTTGGTCAGGGATTGTGGCTTTTTGAATCGCAGTCTACCGAGAGGAGGCTGGGCATAGGGAATCCCAAGAAAGGCTGTTACCAGGCCACCCAGAACTGGCAAGCTCATCCCTCGAACTTTTCCATTTTTAGTTGTAATTATGATGTCATCCTCATGTTGAGATCTCCCAACAAGCAGGCAGAGCAGAAGACAGGACAGGAGAAATCTGATGGGTGTGACGGGGTCCTGGCCATGCATACTGATTCCTGAAAGAGAGGTAAGTAGGAAGTTTGATCAGCCGCTTGTACGTAGGCTCATACTTTATTGATGATAATGAACTAAAAGGTGGTAGTTATTTTGAATACTAAAAATTAGAAAAACAAATAAATTCACCACTGGTAGAAAGGCCCATGTAGAAAAAAATAGAAAACAGTTGAAGAAATTTCAGTTTCCAACTTGGAAGAGAGATAAGTGACCTGGAAAGCAGGAAATCGTTCCTTGTGGAACAATTTATCATCCAATACCTGTAAAGAAGAACTCGTAGTTTAAAGAAAAAGTGCAAACTAACAAGAACACTGCCACTCTAAAAAGCAAGACCTGGAATAAATACCAGTTTCTTTAAAATGTACCATCCACGAGGGGCAGCTCTCCCTGAATTGCGATGACACTGGGGAGAATCTGTAACTGGTCTGTGTAGGAGATAATCGTGGCTTAACACTTTTCTGCATTCTGAGTGTAGTCAGGGCGTATCTGTGGCAGTGATTTGTTAACTGATTAAAGTGGACGCAGCTAGTGACCATAAATGTGTCCGCATGGTCAGAGGTACTTTTACTTTTATAGGGACGAAACGACTGAAATTTCAGGCTCATAGCTGAGAAACTGGATACAAGTGGAGGAACCAAAAGTAAGTTGTTTAAGGTATAAAATCAAAAGTGTTTGCTATTTTTATTAAATAATATTTATTTGATAACATAAACAGGCGATTAGGGGACATCAAGGTTTTATTAAAAATTCATATGCAGATCTGAGTTTCATTTAAAATAATAAACTAATTTTAATAGGATCCTGGAACTCCATGACAAAGAGGGACAAAATGTAATGCTATTTATTTATTTATTTGAGACAGAGTCTCACTATGTTGTCCTCAGTAGAGTGCTATGGCATCACAGCTCCCAGCAAACTCAAACTCTTGGGCTTAAGCTATTCCCTTGCCTCAGCCTCCCAAGTAGCTGGGACTACTGGCACCTGCCATAAGGCCTGGCTATTTTTTGCACGTGTCATTGTTGTTTGTCAGGCATGGGCTGGATTTGAACCTGCCAGCTCCGGTGCATGTGGCTGGTGCCCTACCCACTGAGCAACTGGTGCCAAGCCAATGTGCAAGTCATTTAAAAGAACTAACATCTTCATATACCGGGAAGAAACGCAATTAAAATAGATACAAATACTGATTTTCATCCACATAAAAATAGCAAAGGTCCATAAATATCCAAAATCATTCCATTATTGTCTTTTCAGATG